AGATTACCCCTCCTTCTCCAGCAGAGCATCTAGTGTATTTAAACCACGTACATACTTTGGGCATGATACAAGGAGGGACTGGTCCTTGAAGAGGGACATCATGTTTGGGAGAGTGGAGGGACGGTACAGAAGAGGAAGACCCTTGATGAAATGGATAAATTCTGTGATTGGAGTGGTGGGAATGAATGTGTTTGAGATGGCGAGGTTGGCACAGGATAGAATGGCATTTAGGGCTCTTGTACATAGGGTCTCTATGAATCGCAAGCGACTTGATGGCACATAACAACCTCTGAGATTGCAGTGCAGCTTCTTGCCACTAAGCCACCAGAACCCCCTGAGACCATCTTATTCTTATGAGCTATCAATGCTTTTTCTAAGGAATTCATCATTAATGATACATCAAAAGACAATTACTAATTTATTCAAATAATCTACTGCATGCAAGTTTGGAGACTATGTAAGTGAACCAAACAGACAAAATTTCCCATCTTTGTGGACTTTATATTGCACTGACCAAGAGTAATTTTTTTCTAAGTCAGTTAAAGAGTATCTAAACAATGTGAAAATGTTAAAAATACAATGAAAACTAGATCTGAATGATGCAAAAGCTTAGAGGAAACATTTGATTTAACATACCTGTCAATTTTTTTAAAATTCCCCCCCCATCTAAGCATTGTGGGTCAAAAGAATAGTAATTTAAAGAATCATGTCAAGTCATTGCTGTCAAGTCAGAACCAACTCAGAGTTAACTGCCCAGTTGGGTTTCCAAGAGAGTAAACTGATCATCTTTCTCCCTGGGAGCTGCTGATGGATTCAAACTACCAGAGAGCCATGGCTTTAGGTTCTCAGCACAACTCTCTACAGAATAACTTTCCAATCTCACCTCTCTTTAAAAAAGAGAATTTCTCCTCTCATAGTAGTTACTGCATCAAATGACAAGTCGGGGTGGCACGTGGTTGGTGGTTGTGATTGTGTAGAACTGGATTCTGTGGGCACTGTGGTGTTATCAGAGGAGGAAGGTGGAGGTCCTAAAAAGAACAAATGCAGGAATATAAATCTTAGGAGAATTGAGATGTTATGTTAATTGCTATCCTTTTCAAGCATTTGGAATTTAAGAAAGTGTTTCAAGTTTCCACCATTGCAATACTCAAGATTGTCATTGTAATGTTTTCCAGTGCTTTACATGCCTTATTTTTCTAATTATCACTCACCATAGAGGGATTGAATGCCATTCACGTCATCTTGTGAAAGGCGCAACTGGGAGGAGTCGTTGAGTTCCTTGTATAACGTGTACATCAAAGCTTCAGGGTCATTCGAATGAGAGAGACCCAGGGCATGACCAAGTTCATGAGCAGCCACAAATAGAAAATTGATGCCTATGTGAAAAATCATAAACATTCAGCTATTTAACTCATCAATGCATGTAGATAATGCATACCAGTTTAACAGGCCATACTTGAAATTACACAGGGACTTCTTGTGGGTTGATTCACTGATTAGACTTGATTCTAATCAGTTATTTGACTTGATAGAAATATATTTTCAAGGTTAACTTGACGACAATGTCTAAGACAGATTTTCACAATATCCGCCTTAGTTCTCTCCTTGATCCTGAAAGTCAGGTCATTTTTTCTGCATTGACAGTGATAATAATAATTCCACAGATACTTCTTTGGAAAGACTAAAAATAATAGAATGTCACTTAAGACAACCCTTTTTGTCTTTAATTAGTTAGGCATTTTTCAAGTTCATTAATCAAAAGAGAACTACCAGAAGTTCAGACTGGATTTAGAAGAGGCCGTGGTACTAGGGATATAATAGTTACTGTTAGATGGATCTGGGCTGAAAGCAGAGAGTATCAGAAGATTGTCTATCTGTGTTTCATTGACTATGCAAAGGCATTTGATTGTGTGGATCACAACAAACTGTGGCTGACTCTGAGAAGAATGGGAATCCCAGAACATTTGATTGTGCTTATGCAAAACTAATACTTGGACTGGTAGGCAGTTGTCAGAATAGAGCAAACAAAACGTGGTTCAAAATTGGGAAGTGTGTACACCAGGGATGCATCCTATCTCCATACCTTTTCAATTTATATGTAGAACAGATTATCTGGGAGGCTGGGCCTATATGAGGAGAAATGTGGCATCAGGATTGAAGGACGACTCATCAACAATCTGTGTTATGCTGATGACACAACCCTGTTTGCTGAAACTGAGGAGGGCCTGAAACGCTTGCTGCAGAAGGTCAAGGTTTGCAGCCTTCAATATGGATTGAAGCCCAACATCAAGAAAACAAAGATTCTCATCACTAGGCTGATTGGCAGCATCATTAGGTGATGAAGAGATTGAGATTGTTAACAGCTTCAGTTTGCTTGGTCTACAAACAACACTCTTGAAAATTAAAAAATAAATTGCATTTGGAAAGTCTACTGTCAGAGACCTCTCAAAGTCCTGAAGAGCAGCAATGACAGTCTGAATACTAAAGTGTGCCTGCTTCAGAACATGGTGTTTGAATTACTTGCTATGCATCAAAGCAGGACAATGACTAGGGATGATTGAAGGATAATTTATGCCTTTGAGCTGTAGTGTTGGAGAAGAGTATTGGACTATACCATGGCTGGCTAGTGGAACAATCAGGCTCATCCTAGAGAGGGCAAAGCCAGGCTGCTCCTTGAAGGCAAGGATTTTGAGCTTCATCTGACATAATTTGGACGTCTTGTAAGGAGGGACGTCATGCTTGAGAGGGTGGAAGGAAAGCACACAAGACAGGAAGATTCTTGATGAGATGGATTGATTCAGTGACTGGAATAATGGGGATAGGTGTGTTAAAGAAATCCCAAGTGACCCTACAGCTCATAGCAACAACAATAACAATATGTACTCTTAACTATTTCAATTTCAGCTCTCTGCACATTCCATTAAAATACTTTTCTTTGTTTTCTCAAGCTTCCCTTTGAAATCATCTGTTCAGCTCTTTTATTCAGCTTGCTTTCTCTTTGTTTTGGCTTCTTCACACAGTAGTGAAATTTTCAGTCTTTCTTCTGACATCCATTTTGGTTTCTTCTTTCTTGTCTGTCTTTGTAATGACCTTTTCCTCTCTTCATAGGTCATTCCATAACTCATCTGGTCTGCAAACACAGGCATTCTATACTTCAAACTTATTGTTAAGAATTATAAGTATTATAATGAAATGTGCAGAGAGCTGGAATTGGAGAATAAAAAAGGAAGAACTCATTCTGTATTTCTCAAGGTGAGAGTAAAGGAAAACAAATTTAAACCACAATGACAATATTGAAAATTTCTATGGACAATATATTGAATGATTTAAGAAGCACCAAAAGAAAATAGAGGGAATACAGAGAATTTTGGACCAAAATGAACTGACTGGCATTAAAAATTACAAGTACCATATGGGTAGGAGCCAGTTGTAATGAATAAGGAAGTGGAAGCTGCATTGAAGGGATAGGCAAAAAATAAGGTCCCAGGAATCGATGGCATATTATATGACTTGTTTCAATTGACAGATGCAGCCTTGTGTGTGTTCATCAGGAAATTTGGAACAGATTTGAAGAAGGTCCATATTTTCCCATTCCCAAGAAAATAGATCCTAGTGAATGGAAATTGTCAAACAATTTCATTAATATCACATGCAAGCAAAATCCTGCTGAAGGTCATTCAAGGTTAGCTAGAACATTACATAGAAAACTGCCAGAATTTCAGGAGGATTTAGAAAAGGCCATTATTATTGCTGATGTCCAATAGATCCTAGGTGAAAATAAAGACTACCAGATAAATGTCTATGTATCCTTTATTGACTGTGCAAAGGCCTTTGACTGTGTGGATCAAAACAAGGACTGGCTGACGTTGAGAAGAATGGGAATTTCAGAGCACTTAATTGTCTTCATGCATAACCTATATCTAGACCAAAAGGCTGTTGTCTGAGCAGAGCAAGGAACACTACATAGTTTAAAATTAGGAATGGGGTGCATCAGGACTGTATTCTTTCTCCATATTGATCCAATTGTATGCTGAACAAATTATTCTAGAAGTTGGACTCTATGAAGTATAATGTGATATCAGTGTTGGAGTGACTCATCTATAAACTGCGTTATGCAGATTACACAGGAATTGCTTGCTTAAAGTGCGGAGGACTTAAAGTACTTGTTGCAGAAGATCAAAGGAGACAGCCTTCAATACAGATTGCATCTCAATATCAAGAAAACAAATATTCTTATCATTGTACTAATAGGAAACATCATGATAGATGGAGAAAAGATTGAAACTGTCAACAACTTCATTTTACTTAAATCCATAGTCAACAGCCTTGATACCAGCATTTAGGAAATCAGGCGATACATTGCAGTGGGAAAGTGTATAGTTAGGAATCTCTCAAAGTTATTGAGGTGCAGTGATGTCAGTTTGAGGACTGACGTGCATCTGATTCAGGCCATGGTCTTTCCAGTTACTTGCTATGCATCTGAGTGCTCGACAATGAATAAGGATGACTGGAGAAAAGTTTGTGCCTTTCACCTGCAGTGCTGGAGATCACTGAACATTTTATCAACTGCTAAAATAAGAAACAAATATACCTTGGAAAGGGTGCAGCCAGAGTCCTCTTTGGAGGCAAAAATAACAAAACTTCATCTTACAAACTTCCGGCCTGTTGCTAGGAGAGTATTCCTTGAACAAGGACACGAAGCTTGTAGGGACAGAGAGTTAGCGAAGGATACTTCTCAACAAGGTGGATTGACACAGAGTTGCTGCAATGTACTCTAGTGTGTCAGAGAGGGTGAGGAAGGCAGAGAATAGGACAGGGCTCACATCTGTCATTCAGAGGGTTACTATCTGTCGTACTCAACTCCAAGGCACCTAACCACAACAACTCATGATGAGTTCAACTGATTTTAATCATATAGTATTTGTTTTATTGCTCAAATTCTTCTTAAAGACATTTCTCCCTACTTTTTGTAAAGGTTCCCACAGCATTTTAGTTCCTACTCACCAAATTCTACCCATTTCTACTATTCTACTATTGTATAGTAACAATGATTACAATCTCAATAATCACAAACATTCTCATTGTTTCTACCAAGGTTGTCTAAATTCCATTAATCCAGTTTCCCTATATCATTACAACCCCCTCTGCATTTTAAATTAATTGTGGATCATTTTATTCATGTTATTATTGTGTGCTCTCAAGTCAGAATTGACCCATTGCTGACTTTCCAGTGGGTTTTCAGGGGCAGTTAATGGCACAGGGGGAGGTTTCCGATCCTTCTCCCTTGGAGAAACTGGTAGTTTCAAAACATGTGCCTTTGGGATTGCAGCACAGCTTCTTAACACTAGGCTACCAGAGCTTCCTTTAGCCATAGAGGTAATTATTTTAGGACAATAGTGCTTATGGGTGATATTCATTATTTTGTAGCTTAGCTCTGGCAGCCTAGTGGTAAGGAGGTTTGCTGAAATTTGAAAGGCACGTGGTTTGAATCCAGCAGCTGCTCTGCAGAAGGATGGACAATCTCTTCCCTTGTGATTTTCAAACTCTGAAAAAATCTCCTAGAGGATCAGTATCCATTTCAGTTTTGAGTCAATGGTGCACTATAATGATAACCTGTTATCTATAAACTGATCTCAGAAGTTGATTTTAGTTCAAGGTTTGAAGAATTTCTCAAGGCAATATTTTCAGGAACTCTTGCAGTCCTATCATCAACAAGTCAGTAAGTCTATGTATCTTTAGGGTTTTCTTTGTTTTAGGAGTTTAAGATTCTGTTTCAAACTCTTCTCTCATTCTTTCAGACAACATCTATTGTGGTCCTGTTAGCACCATCTAGCACTTTTGATCTTAGGGTATGTAAGCACATGGCTTGTGTACACTGTCTTGTAGAGTGGATTCTGCTTTGAGTTTTTGATTGCCATTTTTTTCTCTTATGCTGCAGATGCATAGAGACCAACCACTATACTGTGACTCACAGGCAATTATCAATGCAGAAAATGTTCAATCTTTTAGTTATGAAACCGTTGTTTCCAATGCGCAGTTAACCTGAGTGGTACTATCTCTTCTTCATAATCATGAAATCATTTTTGGTAGTCTCAGTAGAAGGTAAGATTGAAACATAAAACAGGCATATGACTCATAACTGTTTTCAGATACAAAAAGATAGTTGGACTCTTATTTAAATTAGTAATATAATTTATTTAAACAAGACTCCAAGTAATTATGCAATAAAGACTTGCTTAGGAAAAGTAGACCATTCCATATTCAACACAAGCATCAGGTATGAAATCTTTAAAACA